TCCGAAGGAGTTTGACTTGGATGTAGTGGCCGTGGTGAATGATACAGTGGGCACAATGATGACTTGTGCTTATGAAGACCCAAACTGTGAAATCGGACTCATTGTGGGTATGTGTTACAGCTGCTTTTTTTTATTTGGCACTTGTTTATTAAACAGCACGTCGACACGTCTGTCTGTGTTTCGGTGGAGACATCCCTGTGGTCAAAATACAACTAGGGTGTCCAGGAATGAAAGATTCTGAAATTAGCAGCTATCCCTTCCGGAGCAAGCTGCGTGAAGGAATTAGGAGCAAAATTCCACAGCCAGCTTCGTTCTGTGCATGGTCGGTTGAGATAAGCACAGGGTGTAATGCTGAGCAAGTCCTGCCTGTGCTAACGGGGAGGGCACTGTGCTGGTTGGCAAGCAAGCAAACACGGGCTCCGGTAGCCTCACCAGCTCCTGGGGTACCTCTTAGTTTAGCCCGTAAGAGTTTCCCTGCCAAGGCGTTCGGGGAGCCCACAGCTTCCCTCGAGCATGTGGTCTCTCAGAATAAACTTGTAAAGCACAGCCCCAATTCCCAAATGGCATATGAGGGAAAGCTCTGACAGGCAAAGTGCAGCGACTGACAGCTCCCTTCCCAGCCGTGAGACAGCTGAAAGAATTCCACAGGCCAACTGCCGATGCCTTTGCAAATGCCACGCTTGGGGTGCCTGAGGCACAGGGCGGCGTGAATTCCCAAAGCTCTCTGGAGAAACGAATTTTCAGTGGGAGAGAAGGGGACGAGGCACCTGCAGGCTTGAAGAACACTTTCAGTTGTGAGGTGGCTTGTAGGAAAATAAACCGCCAGCGATTTCTTCTCCCGACAGTTGGAAAATGTCCAGGGTGAGTCAGCGCGGTGCAGTGTGGGTAGGAAACGGTGTCTGCGCAGCTCCGTGGGTGGTGTTTTCAGGGACAGAGTACACTGCAGGAAGGACAGCGTGCCCTTGGGGTGCTGAGAGCATCCTCCGAGGACCCTCTGCTGCAGCCCTGCCAGATACGTTCTCCAGCCAGCGCGGGGTGCGGAGCAGGGGGTTGGAGGTGGCCTGGGGGATAATGAGAGCGAAAGCCCTGGGGCTCTGATAGCTCCCTCTGCCTGAATTGCCCTGGGTGCTTGCGAAGGAGCCTGCATGAGCCAGCGGTCAGCCTGCTCTCCCCAGGGCAGGGAGGTGGGTTCTGCTGGAACAGAGTTTCCTGCTGTTGCTTGGCAGGGAAAAACTCTTGCAACGGGAAGTTTATGTCACACTGGTGCCCTCTCTCTACCCAGTGTCACCTCTCCTGCCCAGGAGAGATGATGCTTTGAGTCTCCACGGCTGAATACTTTGGAAACTGCCGCTGACTCTACTTCTAAGTTGCTGGCAACAGGAGATCATCTAGAAGTCCAAGAGCCTGTATTTCATAGGTACCCATGTATTCAGGCAGCCCTTACTCAGCTTGTTCTGGGCGACAAGACCCGGCACTGGGAGGCTGGGCAGTGCTGCTGGTCCACAGCTGGGTTTGGTCTGGCTTGGTCCTTCAAACCAGGTCCCAACCCTGTCTGCAAGACCAAACTTTCCCCCAAGCTGTGGCTGTGGCTCAGCTCTCCTGCAGCAGGGAGTACTGTGGGAGGATCTATTTTTGCTCAGACTTTATTGATATAGTGCTGTCGAAAAGTTGCAGAGGAAAACAGGCTTGCCAATATAATTGATGCAGAATCCGTGATGCAGGGTTAAACGAGAGTTTGGTAGGCAACTTGTGTGCCAAGTAACAGCAAAAGCTGCCTCTGTTTGCTAATAAAGCTTTGCCTCCTAAGGGCCTCTGTGTACGTGGAGCACTTTTAATTGCCACGCTCCTTAGGATCCCCCGTAAGCAGAGGCAGATGCAGCATCATTTCAACATGGAAATAACCTTCCTGCCAGAGAAATATTTAAGTAATTTCAATCAGAAAAAAACCCCAACCAAACAAGCAAGAACTAAAAAATACCCTGCAATTAACTGGTAAAACCCCCGGGGTTTTCTTTGCTTGATGCCTCAGAACTTGCTGAAGTTTTCCCTTTGGTGAATTTTCCCCTGAATTCTGTGGGACCGTGGGCTTTGTGGAAGCCTGTAGCACGGGACCCTCAGCCCAGCTGAGCCTCTTCTCCCCTGAGCTGCCTTGTGCGGTGCACCACAGCAGCAATATTCTCCCTCAATTCAGGATTTTGGAAGAGTGTTTTTTGGGTTTTTTTTTTGTGGCATTTCAAATTATGACTTGACTTCATCATTCAGAAAAAACACATTCAAGATGCCCCAGAATGGTTTTGTCAGGGCTGTTGTGTTTGTTCTAGTGTTGTTTTGCTCCAAAGAAAGAGTAATTTCAGTATTTGCTTCTTCCAGGAACTGGCAGCAATGCCTGCTACATGGAAGAGATGAGGAACATAGAGATGGTGGATGGTGAGCAAGGCCGGATGTGCGTGAACACTGAGTGGGGAGCGTTTGGGGATAACGGATGCCTGGATGACATCAGGACAATATATGACAAAGCAGTTGATGACTATTCACTAAATGCTGGAAAGCAAAGGTACTGTGCGATAAATGGTGTGCTCAGTATAAGCCAGGCTGTCGTAAATGCTTTTAAGAGAGATTTGGATTTCTCCCAGTCAGAGAAGGGGGAGATCGTGTTGAAAATGACTGCAGCCCTGCTATCCTGTGGGGTCTCCCTCCTCTGTGCTTTTCCTGGTCGCTGCTTTTTGCTGCCATGGGACTGCGGCAGGGTTCTTGGTGAGAACTTCAAGAGTCTTGACCTTACTGAGAGACCCTTTTCTCATCCCGTGTTGTACTGAGGGGGTTAAGATGGCTTGTCGTTCTTTTGCTCTTGGTCTCAGTTTAATTTCTTTCAGCTGAACTCTTTGTGGAGGGCTCTGCCTTTAGAAATCCTCAGACTCAACCAGCCAGTGTGGTTGGAGCTGCTCACTGTAAAGCAGTCAGGAGCTTTCTAGCAGTTGCGGCTGGGTCTTATTTCAGGAGATTTCATGTTACAGGACCTGCCTTTCTTGGCCCTGGAGGTGGGACCCCATTTGGGGGATCCAGCTCTTCTTTGGCCTAGTGCTACCCTTCCCCCTTCAAGAAAGGGCTGACAAGCAGATGTATCCAGCGCATAATATCTCTGCAGCAAGGTTTTGATGCCAGGAGCTATTAAAAAGATTTTGTGGCTAGAGTAAATGTGCCTGGAAACGCGGGGGGTGCAGACAAGTTGGCAGGTCCCTTGGGAAGCCCTGTAGAGGTTGGGGCTCAAACAGACCCAGGGGGGCAGACGCTGAGTGAGCCTGGTGCAGCGGCAGAGTTGGCATGGAATAAGCAGCCAAAGGCAGTAGCAGACACTGCCAGGGGGAATAATTTATTCCAGGGAGACTTAGGCACTCAAGAGGGAGGACACTTGCTCGGTACAAGCCTGAGAGCGCTCACAGTATTAAATGGATTACGTGGTTGGCTTCCAGCAGGATGGTGCACTGAGCTTTGCTCAATCCAGGGCAGAAACCCTGCTTCAGGATGTGAAATAAAGGATCTATCACTGAATGCGCTTTTCAGTAAATGGGGAAGTGTTCGGTTCTCATCAGTAAGGGCAAAGCTCAGTCACAGACTCCAGAATGCTCTGTTCAAACCAGAGTGATGCTGGAGGGGGAGGAGAGTGAAGCAGATGCCTGCTTTCCTCAGCCCAGGGTTGCCCTGTACTGGTGCCAAGCATCGCTCCTGGACCGCTCCTTGTCCTATGCCAGGAGAGGTCTGCAGGTGGAAGATATTCCCTCATTGTCCTGGGGACAGGCCTGCAAATGGGAAACTCGGGTCCTGTGTGCAAAGTGGGGGGCAAGAGGGGTTAAGACAGCTTGGTTCTTCCCTGTGGCTTTTGAGTTTTGGTTCCCTACTGGAAACCAGGTGCTGGAATTAACCAAAACCCAACCCTGGTCCCCCCAGCTTGCTAGTTTCCAGGTCAGTGATCCTGGGAATGTGCTGGACATACCTTTTCACATCTTTTATCTTGGACAGGGTGTTTTGCAGCACAGGGCTCCCTTAAAAACACTGCGCTAGCAGTGACTGTTTTGTGGTTTTCCTGTAATTTTGCTGCACAAAGCCACCGAGCTTTTTCTATTGGTCTTAGCTGTGCTTCAGGAGGGCTCCCAGATGCTCTGCAGGGGATGTGCTTTCCATGGGGTCCGCTCAGGGCTGTCACTGAGGGGTGCATGGCAAATTTGGCTTTTGTCTGGGCACCGTTCTCCCCTCTGGTGACAGCTTTTCATTTCTTCCGTCTGGGAGTAATACCAGCAGTCATTAACAACAACCCGGCTTGGGGGTAAATGGTAGCGAGGAGTAGATGAGGTGTCTTTAGATGGGTTCACAACGTGTCCCGCTGCCTTCATGCTTTTTCTTGCCCAATTTTTCTAGTAAATGGCTCTTCTGTGTTAACTGTTTTGCGTATTTCACGGTCCCAGTGTGCGTGGGCAGGACAGGGGGCTGTGAAGGCAGCTGTGACGCCGCCTTCGCCGATGCGAGCGGCGTCCCTCTGAGCTGCCCTGCTGCCTTTCATTGCAGGTACGAGAAAATGATCAGTGGGATGTACCTGGGGGAGATCGTCCGCAACATTCTCATCGACTTCACCAAACGGGGGTTCCTGTTCCGAGGCCAGATTTCGGAGACGCTGAAGACCAGGCATATCTTTGAAACCAAGTTCCTCTCTCAGATTGAGAGGTAAGAGGGCTGCAGGGGAGGCTGTTCAGGGTGAAATAGTGGGGTAACGCTCATCTGGTGGCACTGCTGGAGGGGTGGGACAGCAGGAGAGCATTGCTTGGTTCTCCAGAGAGAATTTTGGTTGGAGTAAGAGCCTGTGTATGTGCAGCAGGACTTTTTCCAACATCTTCAGAATTTCTAGCTATGTTCACTGCTAAATCATGGGAAGGGCTGTCAAGGATTCCCTTCCTGTATCCTTCTATTTGCTTGCTTGGAAAACAAGCCGTTTTCCTGTGCCTCTTGTGTGTGTTCTCTAGAACTGAATGAACACTAGCTGAGTGACTACTTAGTGACTGGATATTTTTGTGTCTTTATTACTCAGCCTCTGTATTTTAAAGTAATCTCAGAGCCTGTTGAGTCTTTATGGGGGGAAAAAACACAAGTTGGTCATTAAAAATATTTTGCTGAAATGCCCTTTGGTAAGAAGAGAGAAGGGGAGGCAATGCAGAACTGGACTTGGAGCCTCCCTTGCTGCTTGCGCCCCTCTCCTGCCCTGCAGCGTGGTGCTGTTGTGAATGAACTGGCATTCCCTGGGGTCTCTTGCCCTGGCAGGAAGGGCTGCTGCCTGGTGTGGGTGCATGGATGCAGCCATCAGTGCCATGGGGTTTGTGACAGTGGCCTGATTGAGGGAACCCTGTTATTTAACGCTGTGCTCTTCTGCTTCTGCAGTGACAGGCTGGCCTTGCTGCAGGTGCGAGCCATCCTCCAGCAGCTTGGGCTCAACAGCACCTGCGACGACAGTATCATTGTCAAGACGGTGTGCGGCGCAGTGTCGAGGCGAGCAGCTCAGTTGTGCGGCGCTGGAATGGCTGCGGTTGTAGATAAAATTAGGGAGAACAGAGGGTTAGAGCACCTGGAGATAACAGTTGGTGTGGATGGGACTCTCTACAAACTACATCCACAGTGAGTATTCACCTTCTCAGCATTTGTTTGTGTGTTGCTTTTACATCCTGATGCACCGAAGTGGTGTCTCTTACTTGCTAGGATAAGAGCCAGGGAAAAGAAATCTTAATCAGAGGTGGTCAGGGCTTTCTAAAGGGCAACGAGGGGATCAAGAAGGACTTGTGAAGGATTCTTGGGGTGGTGACAGACTGAAGGGGACGCAGCTTGCCGAACAAGTTGGAAGCCATGCAGCAAGGGAATGATGTCTTGGCTGTGCAAAGACCAGTACGGAGCAGGGCTGAAATGCCTGCTGCCTCTTTGGAGGGTTGTCGTGGTTTAACTCC